AGGAATCTTTAAAGAGAGTAGATTCAATGAAAAGGACTCATAACAAAGGATAGATCCCAGGGGTGAAATGAAGACGTTCTGTAAATAGCTGTGCTATTTTCCTTTGAAATGTCTGGCACATTCTATATAGTACAGTGGTTGTGTTCGGAGGGCCTGTGTGTCTGACTCTGTGATGAAGCATTTCACACTCAATCTCAGAGCAGTGCGTAAATGGCCAGGGCATCTGGATCTTTCCGAAGTTTTAAACTATTTAAATGACAAACTTTTTTTTAATTTAGCATACTTGGAAACAGAATCCTGCTACATCATCTGCATTCAATTAATTATTGCTTTACTTTTAACTCCAACCCTCTGAAAAAAAATAAAGCGTGTACAAATGATAGCTCTGAGATCCTCAGAAATTTGGAGTGTGCTAAGCAAAACCTGTTTCCTAGCATGAAACTGGCACAGAAATGTGAATTTTGCTTCTTTGATTCATCTCATTACCTAGAACCCTAGGCCATTTTGCAGTCTGTGGGCAAAATCCCATGTGTCTTTCATGGCCTAACTTAAAGGCAAAGCCTGCCACAAAATATGCTTGGCCACATTTAATTGTTCTCTCACTAGAGGTCCTACAGTTATGGTTTATTATTCTTTCTAATGGTAATTTCTCTTTTCCTATTTTAAAAACAATTTTGCCTTCTGTTGTTTTATTGTCTGTTTTTGTAAGCTTGTCCCTTGCACAGCACAGGCATATACTGATTGCTTGTTACATGTGGCCCACATTTCAGTTACAACCTGGTGCTTATACACTTATCAAGAATTTTTTGGCACCTGCTCTCTGCAGGTCACAACCTATGCATTCTCAAGAGGACAAACAAGTCTGAGCCAGGATCTGTTTACCAGTTTTTCACAGATTTGAAAATTTAGTACTCTGAGCAAAAGCAGTTTTGGAGCCGAAAAATCATAGGTATTTTAAGGAAGTACCAAAAAAGAACACACTACTATTTTTAGTGCCTTATAGATATAAAGTCGTTCTGTTAATTAAAAACAAAAAGCATTAGGTTTAACTTAATTTCTTATCATGTTTGGCATGTTTAATGTAGAAGACAAAAAATTGAAATGTATTTTCTGCAGCGTGGGAGGGAACAGAAGTCTGGAGGTGGAGTGAGATGGGGAGAGGGCTATATTTTTGTGAAAATTTTAGTAAATTATCTAGTGTTTATTTTTTCCACCTACAGAGAAGACCTAGGACATAAAAACATTAAATGTTATTAGTGATTTAAGAATTAATTCACTAAAATATTGCTGAGTGAAATTAAAGAGCTACATAAATGGATGGTGAGTGAAATTAAAGAGCTACATAAAGAGCTACATAGAGAGATCATGTTCGTGGGTTAGAAGACTCATTATTGTTAAGATATCAGTTTTCACCAAAATAACACACTGCAATGGACAAACTGACTTTGAAACTCATATGGAAGTGAAAAGGAATCAGAACAATGAAAACAGCTTTGATAAAGAACAAAGTTGGAGGACTAACTACCTAATTTTAAGAGCTACATAAAGCCATAGGAGGTCAAGACAGTGTGATATTAGCATTAAGATCACCGATTAGACCAGTGAATCAGAGAAGAACATCCAGAATTAAACTCGTATGTAAGGCATGTGACAAAGGTGCAAAGGCAGTTCATTTATTCTGGGATAATTAGAGACAGAACAATTGCGTATTCATATGCAAACAACAAAACTTCAGTCAGTCCCTCATACCATATATACAAATTAACTCAAAATAGATCATAATCTAAATGTAAAACTATAATACTTTTAGGAAGGAGGACAAAACTCCTGTGAATTGAGTTAGGCAAAGACAAATATAACACCAAAGGCATGATCTGTGAAAGTGACGAATTGGACTTCATTAACATCGCAAGTTTCTGTTCTTAAAAAGACACTATCATGAGAATGAAAAGATGAGCCACAGACTGGGAGAAGATATTTATAAATCATATATCTGAGAAAGGATTTGTATTTAAAATATATAAACTCTCAAAACTCAATTGTAAGGAAATAAACAACCAATTTTAAAAATAGGCAAAAGATTTGAACAAATATTTCACTAAACGAGCAATCCAGATGACAAATAAGCATATGAAAAGATACTCAACATCATTAGTAATTAGAAAAATGCAAATTAAAACCATAATGAGGTACTACTAATACCTGTCAGAATGGCTAAACTTAAACACTGACCATACCAAGTAGTGCTGGAGTAACTGGATGTAAAGTAACTGGAACTCTCATACACTGCTGGTGGGAATGTAAAATGGTGCAACTACTTTGAAAAATAATTGGACAGTTTCTTAAAAAGTTAAATATACACCTACTGTATGATCTAGTCATTTCACTCTTAGATATTTATCCAAAAAAATGAAGTACACGTAGGCTGTATCCAGACATCATAGCAGCTTCATCTGTAATAGCTAAAAGCTTGAAATAACTGAAATGTCCATCAATAGGCAAATGGATTAAAACAAACAAACAAACAAACTGAAACCAAAAAACTGTGACACATCCATATAGTAGAATAGTGTTCGGCAATATAAAGGACTGAATACAGATTATGGATACACATGAGATGGATGAATCTCCATGTAGTTATGCTAAGTGAAAGAAGTCAATTTTTTTTTTTTTAAGAGTACACACTGTATGATTCCATTCATATAAAATTCTATGAAATGCAAAGTAACATATAGTGTTAGAAAGGAGACCAGTGGTTGCTTGGGGATAGAGGATGTGGAGAGGGGGTGGGAGGGATGGATTTAAAAGAGCACAAGGAAATGGGAGGGGGGTGATGGTGGTGTTCATTATCTTGTGATTGTTTTGTGGCTATTGACATATGTCCAGATGTATCAAATTTTACACTTTAAAAAGTGCATTTTATTCTTTCAGGGTTCTCAAGAACACTCATGTCAGGTGATTTACTAGGACTCATAGCACTCAGCATTATGGTTGTACAGTAAGTCCTCACTTAACATCGTCAAGTTCTGTGACTTTAAGCGAAATGATGTGCAACAAAACCAGTTTTACCATAGGCCAATTGATGTAAGCAAGAGTTAAGTTCCTACAGAATATCCTCAATGTTATAACAAAACCAAGTTGAACAAAATGACGCCATTTGAGGACCTGCTGTACTTGAGGCTAAGATTGGTTAGAGTGGCACAGGAAGGATGCATAGCCGGATCGGTCAGTGAGGGGAAAGACATCTGGAAGAGTCTGGAGGAATCCATGTGCAGGTTTCCAGTGTTCTCTCCTTCCCATGAGGGGTCACAGGGAGCACACCTTCCCTCCAGTGGCAAAAATGTAATCAGAGTGCCTAACGTTTATGCCAAGGAATCACATTTAAGGGTCAGAGTTTTTATTGGAGGCTGGTCACAAGGGCACCCCCCACACCCTGCCCATCAGTATTTCAGATTCCCCACAGGAAAGCAGGTATTTAGTACCCCAGGCAGGCAAAACAACCTTGTCAGTATAGGGGTTCTTTCAGAAGCCAGGTTTTCAAATTCCAGCCAAGCGTCAGCCTTGCAAGTAAGCCTTTCTAAAGATAACATTCTCGGGACTTGTTAACGCTTTTCTGCTGTCAGTTATACCTCAATAGAACTTTTAAAAAATCATCATGTAAGTTAGTCTGAGCTAGCACAAGGCAACAGTAATTAATTTATTGAAAAAAGGATAGACTATAAAAATAGTAATTTCAGATTTGGGGAAGACCAATACAGCAAGATCTTCATTATCCGGAACGTTGTACACCCTTAAGTCTTCTTTTTGGAATGAGGTGGGATATTAATAAGTCAAATTGCATGCCTGCAAATGGGAGCTTCTAATTATTTTTATTCTTTAATAACATGACTTTCCACTTGAATTGCATTTGAAAATCGTTCCCCAAAATATAATTTTCCTTTCTTTCATAAAAAAAAATCCTTGATTGATAATCATTATTTTAATTATTAGTTAACTGATCATGACCCGGTTCTATAGCAAATAAAAGTAAAACATTGGTGTTGAGATTATAATTACCTTAACAACAGTACTTCCTCATGGTGCCATGCAGGCTTTGCCCATCCACGGACACACCTGCTGAGAGGGCGAGAAGAATTGAAAACCAGCCTATACTTTGATGTCTGGGCCCATGTCACGGCCGCAGCTTGCAGTGTGTCTGCCCAAGAGAGGGGCATCTTTTTCTAATTTGCACAAAGGTATCACACGGGCTGACTATGGCCCTGCTCAACACATGGCTGGGAAGAAGGTGTTGGTTTTTCCCCCCAAATGCTGCCCATTATCATCAAGCTTTCTGGTGAACGTGTCTTTTCCTTTAAAGAAATCCAGAAAATAACTTTGGAGTTGAGGGTCATCTTTAACCAGAACTCCGCTAGGTACAATAGCCGTGTAGGGCATGTTCCTCTATAGATTGGCCCAACTGCTGTTGAAAAGACAAGTGGATTTAGGGTACGGTTTTCATTTTGTCACCTGGGAGGATGCCTGGTGTCTGTTCTGTATCTGGGTCCCATTATTAATGTCCCCAAGTCACAATTTCTGTGTATCTGTAACAAAAAATTCAGAGAAAGGAAACTCCTGTAGCTCCTCTGAGGGAAATTTTTGCTGCTACTGACTAATGGAGTTTCCTGAACGGGAGCGAAAACTTCTCACTTCCAAAGATATCCAGTATAGTTTAAAAGGTTCAACTTTGAAACATATATAAAATATTTGATAGTCACAGCTTAGCTTCAAATAAGTGATGTTCAAATATTGACACCCATTTTAGTTCTCTTAAGCCTTGAGCTGCCGGCTTAATTTATGATGAAGAACACAGCCGAAGGCGCTGAGCCGCCAGACGATAATTGAGTAGCGATCTGTCAGCAGCAGGGTTCTGTTTGGAAACCTCCAACGTTTGGAAATCTAAGCCCCTCTTCCCATTTCTTCTCTAAAGAAACTTAAACCAAATCTCTTTCTCCCTTTTGTAGATGAGAACCACGCGCAAGGTCTCTGTCTGGCCAGTGGGCCTGGTTGGTGGGCGACGCTATGAACGTCCATTGGTGGAAAATGGCAAAGTTGTTGGTTGGTACACCGGCTGGAGAGCAGACAGGCCTTTTGCCATCGACATGGCAGGTAAGGAGTATAACTGGTGATTTTTGCTCCTGCCTGATAGTTCTTTTAGCTATACTCACATTCGTAACAGGGGGTTAGAGGATGGAAGCTTTAAAAGACCACTTTGGATAAAACCCTGGATCATATCATATTCAGCAGATAAACACTATTTAACTGAACTTTCAAAACAGGCTCTTTGGTTAATTCAAGTGGAAAATGATTTGGGGGTGATTAGAAAATGCTCATTCCATTCTATTTTGTCACATGTCCATGCAGCCATCCCTTTATCCAACAAACGTTTATGTGCCAGGTGCTGGGTTGGGCTTTGGAAGCTCAGTGGTGAGAACTGGACTTGGCCCCTGCCTCACAGGGTTTGTGACTGTCCCTTTTGGTACCTCTCTCTAGAGGTCCAATTTGTCACGTTCTTATTGATAAATTTACTAGAGATATGGAATTGACAAGCCAATCATTTTAATGCTTATCGATGAATTTAGTGCTTATTGAAACATTTCATAGCTAAAATAATAAAATTAAATTTCTGTTTTTTCAATCATTTAATAACTTTGAGCATAACTGTCCTTTAAAGTTTTTATTCTCTAACCAAGCAACTGAATTAAATAAGACTTGTAGCAGACCACAAATTCTAAAATGCAGCTTTATCATAAAGTGACTCATTTTCTGTGGGTTATATAAAATGATGCCTGTGATAACTGTAGAAAGATGAAGTTTGAAACATGAGGCTTAGAGGCAAAAAAAAAAAAAAAAAAATTCACCATCTATAACCTAGAAGATGAAAGCAGAAAAGCTTCAGAATTGATCTCATCAATCTTCAACTCTGAAACACTGCTCTGTCTGTCTGTCAGCCTGTGCTTGGCCAATCTTTTGTGTATATTTTTCCCTACTGCAGTCAAAATCTCTATGCTCAGAATTCTGATGGGATGAAGGCTGTATTCTGAATTGGCTTCATCATTTTTATTCTGACAATACTATAAATTTGAGGGGACAAGATGATGAAGAATACCAGGGATAAGAGCTGTAGGGGGATGCTCTCGTGGATGGCAGTGTGGTTGGTCCGTTGCACTGCATCACAGGAGAAGACAAACCAAGATATTTTTATTCAGTGTTTAACAAACACGGTGCCCATTTTCTGGGTGCCTGTTTTGTGAGACTGTGTCATGGACTCTGACTCCAAGGACAGTCTAGATCTCTTACCATTCCCTGCTCACCTGCTCCCTGGTGCCCTGTCTCTACTTCCTGACCTCTCCATCCTTTTGCTAACCCCTAGCCTTACGCTTTGGTCTTGGCTCTTGCAGCCCCAGGGCTGATCCGGCCTCTCAACCAAAGCATTCTCCTGAAAGCAGATAGAGAGGTAAGTCAGCCATTCTTGGAAGGTCCTGCAGATTCTTGAAAGAGGCCTTTCCTCAATCAAGTCTGAGTTTGTGGCTCTGAAAATACAAGGCCTGACCATAATGTGTCTGGAGAATCAGGTTTCTTGCTTGATCGGAAGTGTAGCCTTGAGCAGAAAACTTGGAGATCATGAAGCAAAGTCCGTTGCTTCTCTGGGGCTGAGTTTTCTCAAGTGTAGAAAAATGAGACAGTGTCCTTAACCTCTGATCATGTGCTTGATTGGTTTTTCTGGTAACCAGCAGCCATCCTGAAGTTATCTGGGGCCCACCGCAGAGCCACCTCTTTAGCATAACGAAGTCACTTCCATCACTCAGGAAATTCTGAGGGTTTTACAAGCTCCTGGACAAGGACCTTGACAATTTTTAATTATACCATAGGTTCAGTAAAGGATACTTTTGTAAAAAAGAGTGTCTCCCACATCCTCGTTTTACTAATTCTTCTATCTACCAAAGCAAAGGGCATATAATAAGTGATGTCTCAGGGTCACTTTCAGCTTTGTCTGTGGACTGTTTCATGACTGATAAAAATTAGACACGATCGTAAAGTGATAAAACTTTCTCATGTGTGGCTTATGGAAAGGGATGACAAATCTAGGACTCTTAGTTTTCTGGCCTGGAGTCCGGTGGATGTGAGTTTGTCGGAGCCCTGGGAATGGATGAGCTTACACAGGGAGACTGTAGTGGTCCAGGATTGCTTCCTGGGGAGCAGTCATTTAAAGGGGCTGCAGCAGGAGGAGCCAGCATAGAGGACAAGGCACAATAAGAGGGTGTTGGGGTGGACCTGTGACAAGAGTCCCTGGAGAGAAGAGGTGGGTGAATCATGAGTTCAGTTGTTGGATGCCTCGTGTCATGGCTGTGGATGAGAGGGTGCTTGGGGAGTGAGGGAGTGCGAGAGCCCGAGCATGTCAGTGGTGGCACTGGGATGGTTGGTAGCAATGAAGACCTTGTAAAATGTTTCCTGGGACAATCGATAATATGAAAACATAAAGGGCCTGCAGCAGGAGGACTAAAGGGTCAGCAAAATTGTCTGAGGAAAGTTAGATCTCCAGTAGAGCAAAGAGGAAGAGGAAGTTCAATCCGTGAAAAAATTGAGGAAGTTCCGTTTTGGGTAGGGAGTAATGAAGCTGAGGTAGGGGAGAGGGAGGTGACAGGAGCCCTTACATGACAGTTATTAGAGATTTATCGAATTTTAACAAGCCATTTCAGACTGCCCATAAACCAGCAGATATTTAGATCTTTCTAACACTCTTGTATGGGGATAATGGATATAGTAAACTTAATTTTGGTTTCTTTCTAATTGGTGTGATTCGTCGTATTATTTGAGTCGTGACTTATGTACGGAAAATAACGTAATTTGGGGTAATTAAAACATTCTATTAACCCGAATACCAGTTGTGTAAAAATAGGAATCTGTATGTTAGAAAAAAATCACATTCCTTGACTAAAGTTTCCAGGCCCCAGATTCCTTGTGGGTATGCCGCCCATATGGAGGGTTGTGGAGGTTGGAAGGGCTTGAGATGAGGGGGAGACAGCCGTAGCGCCTGCCTGGGATTAGCGTGCCCACCACCGCCAGTACCCGCTCTGCAGAGATGCGGGAGTTGTTCAGGAGTGCAAACCAGATCTTGGCAGTAGCTTGCTCTCAGGGTAAAGGACTCCTCACCGTTGCCACAAAGTCCTGCCTGCCCCCCATACAACCTCCTCCACTTTCAGTTGTCTTTGGTGGCAGCTGCCCCTGCGGTTCCTCCAGCACATCCTAACCTTCACCTTGGCGCCTGAACAGATGCCCTTGCCTGGCACGTTCTTTCTGTAGCTCAGCCCTGATCATTCTTTAATTCTCAGCTTAAAGGTCACTTTCTCAGGGACGTCTTTGCTGGCACCCAAGATCGACAGACCCCTGGCCTTGTTATTACCTCCCACAGTTCTAAGCGTCTGTACTTCTGCACTACAGCACTTACCACAGTGGTATTACATCTTTAACTGTAATCATTGAGGCTTCCCAGCCCCCTGCCCCCACCCCAAACAGAATGCAGCCACCTTGGGAGCAGTCGCCTGTACTACCCTGCCCTGCCCTCCCCAGTGCTAGGCCCATGTGTTCCAAAGACGCAGCCTTAAAATGGGTTCCGGGGTTTCCCCCTGTCGAGTTTCTGTCCCCACTGCTGGCTTACCAGGCAAACCTTTTGTATTGTTATAAATGATGGCAAATTGAAGAGGGCGAAGGGTCATTCAGGCAAATGACTGAAGCTCTCGTTCCCTGGGCTCTCAGCAGGGCTCGCTGGAAATCACAGTCGTACAGGGCCTTCTTTCTCCTGTTATTTGTTGACAAGGAATTTTGCCTGGGTTAATTTAGTTGGCAAACCCTTTCTTGGTAGATAAAGCAGTAACGAACTTCAGCTCAGCCTGGATCAGGTGTCATCAAAGCCAAATGAGCATAGCCCAAATCGATGCAGTTTTCTTTGCTCTGTGAATATAAATGCTGCAAGAAAATGGAGAGAATAAACTTCTTACTACTTTGGAACCATTTGTAATTTAAGTGTGCTGTTTTCAATTTGTGTATGTTTTGTATGAGAAAGGTAAAGTTATTGAATGTTCTCAGCAGAGTGACTTGATGTGTCATATGGTACCTTTTAGTGCAGGGTCTGGGGACTGACTTGGGGCTTTGCCCTTCGGTCAGTGCAGTGTGATTGTCACTGGAGTGGTACATGGGCTGTCTGACAACTTACAGAACCGTAGGGGTAGTGGCGGAGTGTTAGTGCACTAGGAAACCTGTTGCCCATTTTTTATCCATGTCTAAAAGGAGGTGCATTCTAGTGAACTTGCAGGCACTGGACGACCACAGCATGTTCAGTCCTGTTCACGTGTACCACGGCCGTGTGGGTAGAGGTGGGTGTTTGGGATTAGGAGCACCTGTGCATCTGTATGCTCATAACCAGGGTGCTTTCCCTAGGTAGCTCATGATGGGGTGCCCATGTTCACGCTCAGCTTGGGGGGGATGGAAGGATCCGCTGAGCCCTTTGAGGACTGCAGGAGAAGTGGGGAGAGGGGGTTCCAGGGCCCCATCCTGCCTTAAGTATAGCAACTCTTTTTATAATTTACATGTTATAATTCCCCTAAAAATTTCAATGGAATTAAGCCATCCTTCAGGACTAAGAATTTTGAAAACCAAAAGTTTTCTCTTATATCAGAGAAGTCCAACAGACTTAATAATTATTGTTTACTGAGTATTTTTCAGGCATCAGGCATTCTTAAGTGCTCTATGTGTTTTCTTATTTAATCCTCATTCAATTCTGTGAGGGGTGTGCTAGTATTATTTTCTTCATTTAAATATAAGGAAATTGAGGCCTAAACATGCTAGGTATCTTGTCCAGTGTTGCTGTGATTAAGTGGTAGAGCTGGGATTCAAACTCACGTCCGTGTGTTCCCAGTGATGGCCCTCCCTCTTGGCTCTGAATCCCGACTTCTCACCGACTTACAGCCACGTGACCCAGTTCTTGATCTCTGAGCCTCTGCTTTCTTCATCTGCAGAACAGAAGGAATGGAATTCTTCAGAGAGTAAGACAGCACATACAAGGCATCTGGTGCAACACTGTAGACACTCAATGACTGTTATGTCTCTTA